AGCATAGCGGAGCAAATGGGACGTTCGCTTCAACTCACGTCGGTTTCTATCAACATCAAAGAGCGCCTTGACTACTCTTGCGCAATCTTTTCCCCTCAAGGTGGCCTTGTCGCGAACGCTCCGCACATTCCGTGTCACCTTGGCGCGATGAGCTATGCCGTGGCCTACCAAGCCGAAAGATGGGGCAACACCCTCCGCCCTGGCGACGTTCTCGTTTCGAACCATCCTGCCGCTGGTGGTTCACATCTTCCCGATGTCACAGTCATCTCTCCTGTGATTGACGAACACACCAAAGAAGTTCTTTTCTGGACAGCGTCAAGAGCCCATCACGCGGATATTGGCGGTATTGCGGCGGGATCGATGCCGCCACACTCTAAAGAGATCTGGCAGGAAGGGGCGTCTTTTACCTCATTTAAGCTTGTCAATAACGGCAAGTTCGACGAGGAGGGGCTGGCGGAGATCATGCTGAAGAGGCCTGCCTCCTACCCCGGCTCTTCCGGGACGAGAACATGGAGTGACAATGTCAGTGATTTGAAGGCTCAGATTGCTGCGAACCAGAAGGGCATTCGATTGATCCACGAGTCAATCAAGGAGTATGGTCTTCCTACAGTACAAGTAAGTTCAACTAGCACTTGTACCCTGTACGGAGTCTGAAGACTAACAAGGCGTTCAGAAATACATGCTTGGGATCCAAGACAACGCCGAGAAGATTGTGAGAAATCTTCTACGACAGGTTCATGACCAGTTCAGGGGTCTGCCGCTGGAAGCAGAAGATCAGATGGATGATGGATCGAAGCTGGTGCTGAAGATCCACATCAACCGTGATGAAGGGACCGCCAAATTTGATTTCACCGGCACCAGTCGAGAGGTGTATAGCAACCTCAATGCCCCACGAGCCATCACCTTAGTGCAATCATCTATGTCCTCAGGTCACTCGTGAAAGAAGACATCCCTCTCAATCAGGGATGTCTAGCACCAATCAATGTGGTTCTTCCAGCGGGCACTATTCTTTCGCCCTCACTAGGTGCAGCAACTGTGGGAGGCAACGTCGAGACATCTCAGCGAGTTACCGATCTTGTCCTGAGGGCGTTCCAAGCAGCCGCGGCCAGCCAGGGAACGTGCAATAACTTGACATTCGGATACGGTGGTGAAGTCGTTGATGGCAAGGCAAAACCCGGTTTCGGTTATTATGAGGTATGTTGGTTGAAGCTTTGCCAATCAATTATCTGACCATTTTCTAGACAATTGCTGGCGGCGCTGGCGCCGGTCCGACGTGGGCTGGCCAGTCTGGTGTTCACGTTCACATGACAAATACTCGAATCACGGATCCCGAATCTCTTGAGCGACGCTATCCTTGCATCTTACATGAATTCGGTATTAGAAAAGGCTCGGGTGGCCGTGGCAAGTTTTCCGGCGGAGATGGGTGCATCCGTCATATCGAGTTTCGTCGTGATGTTCAAGTAAGTGTTCTCAGCGAGCGACGCTCTGTGCCTCCTTTCGGACTTTGCGGAGGCGGGTCAGGTACCCCAGGCGAGAATCTCTGGATCAGAAAGGACGAATATGGGCTCCGAGAGATCAACCTGGGAGGCAAGAACACATGCCAGATGCGCAAGGGAGACCATATCATCATAAGTGAGTGCCATGAGTTTCTAGTTTTCAAAGTCTGGACTGACTCAGCACACAGAGAGCCCGGGCGGGGGAGCGTACGGAAAGTCGATGTGAGATCGGCTAGGAAGTCAGGTGTGGGAACGAGTCTGTTCAACAGCAGCTTTGGTAACCCACAAATCAGTCCATAGAGTTGGAGACCGTCCAATTCTCTTGTGTATGCACAGCTGCACTCCCGTATAATAAGTACTGCACATCCAGTAGTGCACTTCAGTCGAGCATAGCAGTAGTAGAAGCAATAACAGTCAGAATAACAATGGCGATAATGGCAACAATAGCGGCGATAGTGATAATAGCAACGACAGGGACGACAGGGACGACAGGGACGACAGGGACGACAGGGACGACAGGGACGACAGCGATAACAGCGATGCCGGCAACGCAGAATACTACATAAGCCCATAGGGAGAATAGAAGGTCTCTAGAAATAGCCTGGCCCGTTACGTGTCGCAATTGAGTTGAATATTATGGGCTTCGGACAAAAGAGTCAAGGTCTGGTGCACTGTCCGTGGAGAGAGCCATGACGGGCGACATTTGTATTTTTAGCAGCGATCTCTCTCTCTCCTGTTCACAGTTTTAGATGATTCCTAACAGATGTTAACGTCATAACTAGGGTGCTACGTAATAGACGTTGGTATCAAATATGATGCCCTTGTTGTCAACTTGTCCGTATTCCCAAATTTCTCTTCAGGCTTGACTGACTCAAAAAAGCACAGAGTCCGGATGAAGGAGCATACGAAAAGCTGAGGTAAATCCAGCGCTGGCGCCTGGTAATACGATTGATGGGTTTTCAGATCTCTGGGCTGAGCAATCGCGTTGCTCGGCATCATTTAGACCAATCGAGATCAGGACATGATGCGCTGGACACTGCCCGGGCCTAGCGAAGGCGATAGTCCCGAAGTGCATCCAATGGCAACAATGCAAGCAGCTAGGCTTCCTTCGGGGCTAACTCTTAATTCCAGAGTCATCGTAGTGACAGCCTAATTTTCAAGTCTAGACCAATTGCTAAATCCGCCCACCGCAAATCTGGTATGCCCCCGAGAAACTCAGTCGCATCCTTCCTCAATCAACGAGAGCAAGCAAATTGGAGTATCATGTCGTCTATATTTGAGGATAAAGTATGGTTTTCATACATGTTGTTGATGCTGCTCATTCGCGCGCGCGTCCTGTTGTTTCGCAGCCGAATTCGACGTGGATAATCCGAATGTCCCAACGCTACAAGACGTTGAAAGTGTCCAAGAATCCGTTCAGTGTTCCTTTGACACCTTAGAATACTTGATGAATCGTCTCATCGAAAACGACTTCGATCACAACCACACCAGTCACCTTGTCCTCGTGTGTAGTAACGTGTGCCATTTGATCTACGGCACGGGAAACCCAGATGTATCTGGAATCGGCGTAAGTTCCCATGAGATCCTTTAACTTAAGACTTTGCGTAACTAGCGAAACTCTGCAGGCAATTATCTCTTACGGAATACAAGCTGTCGCAGTCTTTGCAGCAAGTACTGGTCTTTTCGTCACAGTTTTCTTTCTAGCACCCAGACAAGGGCTTTGGGCGACTGTCAAAGACATCTCTCAGTCCTCAAAACCGCTGCTTCGATCTCTTGGACTTCTAAGCGAGTCTATACACAAGACCAGCGTAGCGCTTTCAATGGCCGTTACATACGCCTGTGCTGCTCGCATACGCCAACCAGATGTCTCATACTCAGAAACGACCGTAATTGTTTGCCTCTCGCGGTTCCAGTTTTATATCAGTGCGCTCAGTTTGCAGTTTTTCGACTTTTTCTCCCCAGAACATCCCACGGGTAGATCATCGAAGAAATTGCGAGTCTTATTCCCGGTGGTGTTTGCCCTTGGCTCTTACCTTGCGTTCCTTATAATCACTTTGAATGCCGCACAGCTGTTCAAGCAGGATAGTGTGGCAGAAGCAGATATCTTAAACAACATAACGATGATTTGTGTTAGATCTCATAGCTTCCCGACACTAGGCGATCAGCTAGGCCTGCTGAAGTTCACGTCTCGTGACACACATGTTGCACATGACGTTATCGTCGATCACACTTGGGCTTGTGTGGCTGATCTCATTCTCTTGCCGTGGGCAATCTTCTCTGTGGCTTCAGTAGCTGCTTACCTTCAGTCAACTTCTAGCTGGGACGAGCTTGTTCGGAATCGAGCAAGAAATCGTCCACCGCTTCCGGTGGGACCGATAGCCTCGTCTAGAACAGTACTATTAGCATCTGTTGCCATTTACTTACTCGTACCTGTGACTTTGCAGGTATCTGCATTACACTGGTCATTTATGAGAATTTGGAAATTTCGAAAGCTTCTTATAAAAGCATTGATCGTAGTAAATCCTAAATATCAGGTAGAAGAAGAAGTCTGGGGGTTTGGGCAGATTGCTGCAGCCCTGGTCTGGGCACCGGTCGCCCAAGACGCTATTTCTGCTGCATGGGGTAAGTTTTCTGCGGATATACCTAGCAATGTTTGATCCGAAGCTGATGAAGCACATGTGCTACAGAATATAGCCGAATGAGAGATGAATCTTTCATCGATGTGGAACACTCCTTCTGGCCCTCAAGGCCGAGTATGTACATGAAGAGATGGGCAGCTGAAAGTGGCAATCCACCGGGGTCAGTGGACCCGTTAATAGTCCCACTGCGGCAGCACAGAGAGCCCGATGGTGCGCACTAGGTTGAATGATGTTCGTCAACTGACGCATGGTTCGAATGTCGAAGGATCTTGTGATGAACAACATGGCTCATGTTTCGGCACACTGTTCTATAAAAGTCGTACCATCATGTTGCAGGACTTCAAGCTTGATACGAGAAGGGTTTTTTTACATGTCAGAGGCTTAGAAGTCTCTCCTGTTTAATTCGATAGCTTGCTCTTTTCCTCTTTTTCTTTTTCGAGGAGGGGGCGCAGCGTTACCGCCTTATTCGTATGGCCAGCAGCTTTGATCTGTGATCACTAAAGCTTTTTGAGATGCCAAAGCATTAGTTTCAAAATCACTGACTGTTGTTTCTGACTCGTAACCGACGTTGACGTCACAGCAAGAGCGAACAGACGTTGTTGTGAGATGAGATACCCCTGTTGATTGAGTTGCTGAGCCAGGACTTTGTTCAAGACCCACTATGTTTTTGGGGGCCGATTAGCGTCATGATAAGGGCGTGGCGTGTGCGGTTTCGCCGGAACAGCCACCGCGTCTCGGAACTCCTCTTTTCACGCCGAGCCGCATCCTCGCCATCGATTCCGAACCGTCAACGACGCGTTCCGCAGTGCTCCATATCCCTCCGGCCCCGGGTCTCGACTGGCAACCGGCCGATCTATTGGACGTTATGGGCCCAGAGGCTGATGCAGCGCCGGCAGAGGCCGCGACGCCGCAGTCGACCCGCGCCGGATCCGCTCCAGTGCAGAAGCGCGCCGCGCCCGCGACCGGCGAAGGCCAGCGCAGCAAGCGGGCGAAGTACACGCCTGTCGCTTGGTAAGTCACTGGGTGCTCGTGATATTTTGAGTCGAGTTTCTAAGACGACGATCGCTTAGCAATGAGTGCAAGAAGCGGAAGCTCAAGTGCATCAGAGAGGACCATCAGACCGTCTGCCGACGGTGCCTTTCTAACGGTGCCGAGTGCGTCTTCGTTCCCGGGCCGCAGCAGACGCCTCTGAAAGATAAGGACCGGGATGTTACTCATGAGAGGGAGGAACAGCATCCGTATGAAACCGTTACCGTGTCCATCTTGCACCAGCTCACAATGACTACAGCTCTCAGTACAAGAATCTCAGCGAAGAGGTGGCCGCCCTTCGAGAACAGGTCGCCAGCTTGACATCCTCTCTTCGCGAGCTCAATGGCAAAGTCGCTCATATCAATACGCGCTCGCCAGCTGCTCTCGGCGGGCCGCAACATCCCAGTCCTCTCTACGCGAGTGAGTCGAATCGTCGCCCGAGCGAGCCAAGGGAACCTCAGTTTGTCGGTCCCACGAGATCAGCGTTCAGCCTCCGCATCGCTGAGACGTCGCTCACCCGCATGCGAATTCAAACTGGCGATGAGGAACCGACGAGCCGATCTGCCTCGCCGGCTGCATCCCAGCGAGCACCTTCCGTCATATCCGAAGACCAGACAGCGTCATCTCACAAAGATTTGGACTGCCTATTGACATTAGAATTTGATGAAATCCTTCGTCTGCTTGACGTATACTCAGAGGAAATGGAGTCAGTTTACCCCTTCACCAACATCAAAGATGTCTCAGCGAATCTACCTCACATACTCTATTACGCTCGACACCTGCAGAATCCACCGGCGGACCCAAACATCCCAGAAGAGGAGCGGCCCAAAATCGAGGAGAAGGATGTCCAGCTTGCCAAGGTCGCGATTGCTATATCGATAGTAATGGAGGCCCAGGGGCAGAATCCCATAAGCACGAAGTTGATTGACTCCGTCGAGCCCGTTGTGTGTCGAGTCTCGGGTGAAGCATTCATCGACTTGAAGGAACTGCAGATCATGACTATGTTGGTGAGCTAGATCTTTCCTCGAACGAACAGCCTACCCGATGAGTGCCCACGCTGACATCGTGTTAGAGCCTCTACTGGTTCCACTGTGGTGAGGAGCTTCTAGCATGGAGGGCCATCGGCATTTCCGGCAGAGAATGCCTCGAGATTGGCCTCCATCGACGAGCGATTCTCCTGGACAATTTTAAAGATCCCAGGCAGCGAGATCTCGCCGTACGATGCTTCTGGTGCGTCTACGTCTTGGATCGCCGCTGGAGCTTCGGGACAAGTCTGTCCTTCGGCCTCATTGACAGAGACATAGATCCGGAGTTGCCCGAGCCGGTAAGTTCTTTGCCATCAACTTCCTTCGGACAGCAACACCTGCTGACGGTCCCTCCAGGGAGAGAGTTACCCCTACTTGAGGTGCATGGTGTCCTACGGCAGGCTTTGCTCCAAAGTATGGGAGGCCCTGCCGCCTTTTGAGTCGCCATCACAATTCATACCCAAGGACACCGTCGCCTTCTTGGACTTCATGACGCAGAACTGGCTCAACTCCATCCCGGACGACCTCCGTATTCGGCATCCTAGGCTTGGACTCGCACCCCGGACTCAGCCGAGAAGCATGCATCGCCTTCGATCATTGCTCTACCTACGCGGAAATCACATGCGAACGCTCATCCACCGGCATCATGTCCTCAGCACCGCAAGCATCAGGGCCGACATACAGAGTGCCAAACTTGTCACGGAAATCGCACTGGATACCATACAAGTATTGACACACCTTAACGATACTAGCGACATCTATGCACGACAGCAGCACGCTTTCAACTATTTCCTGATGAGCGCACTAGCCGTGATCCTGCTCGCTGTATGTCACGCGCCGGGTGTGTTTACTGAGCCCTGTAAGGAGAGCTTCCTGAAAGCAGTGCAGCTTGTCAAGGGATTCTCACGACATGGGCATGCAAGCCGAAGGCTTTGGAAGACCATTCGAGGTTTGCTTCCAGGTGTCAAATCTCTCGGCCTTCGGAGTGATCCCGAGAAGGCAGATGTGCCCCAAGCAGGGGACGACGCGGAGCAGAACGCGACCGAATCCCGGCCGGATGACCCACACCAAAATCCGGGTCCGGGCGAACGGGACGGAAGAAGGCCGGAGAACAGCGCATGGGATGCTTGGGACACAAGTCCGCAGGCGAACAGCTCAATCCCCGACATGTTCAATATGGGAAACGATCTGATGAATCTTTTCGACGCCTTTGGTCATGCGAATGGAGGTCACCCGGCGCCGCCTGAATTTCCGGTGGGGTTCTTTGGGGTGAATGAGCAAGGCATGTCGCTAGGGGACCCGGACGAGATTTCGCGACGTTTTCAGGGATTGATATAATTCAGCACGGTGATCAGTCCGACCACGTCAATACATAGCCCCAGTTTCCATCACAAAACACATGAGTGCGAGGACGGGGACTTGAATTGCAGCCAAGCGAAAACTTTTCATGTTACAATCTACCCAATGCTTGTCAATATCCTCCCCCTATCCTCGCGTTTCCGCCCTTAGACGCTGATATCTGCAGGGACAGAAATGCCTGTTACTACGTTGCTATCCACGACCGGCACCTCGAACTTCTTGCGGCCGTATGAGATGTAGTAGATGATACCAAAGAATAGCCAACCAGCCATCACAACGATCGAGTGGTTCATGTTCTGCGGCGTCACTGGCATTGCCGAGGGGAACGTGCTGAAGATGATGACCACGACCATCCAGATCAAACTGATCACATTCAACACGGGGCCCACGGTGGGGCCGAGCTTGAAGGGGCCAAAGTCTGAGGGCTTGATGTTCTTGCGGCCGAACAGCATGTACGCGATGGGGACGATGTAACTTGAGTACATGCCGATGATGGCCATAGACAGAATGGCGTTGAAGGCTGTCGTGTTGCCAATGTAGATGAAGCCGAGGAGCATCTGGAGGATGGTCACGAGCACCACGGAGTAGACTGGGATCTGTGAGTGTTTGTTGACCTTACTCAGGTACTGGTCGTAAGGGGTGGCTCTGTCACGAGCAAAGGCCCAGAGTGTGCGCGAGGTCGATGTGATGCCGGCGACTGTGGCGGCGATGGCAGTCATAATGATGACCAAGGACATGAATGTCGCGCCGCCGTGGGACTTGGTGACATCGAGGAAGATTTGCATAAAGGGGTATCCGGTCGGGGTCGAGAGGAGGGCGTCGAGGGGGCCAGTGGAGAATAGCAAGACTGTGCCGTAGATCAAGCCCATGACGCCGTTGACGATGACACTTCCCACCATTGCAATTGGAACGTCACGACTGGCGTTGGGCAACTCCTCGGCTAAATGGCATGCGGCATCGTAGCTTGGTACTGTCAGTCTAGTCTTGTATCACGGACAGGTGCCTACTCACCCCAAGAACGGGTAGACGGCGCTAATCAGCCCAACGAGCCAAGAGATTCCGTCACTCTCCCAACCGCTAGAGTTAGTAACTTCCTTGAAGACGAAGGATGCGGTGTTCTTCGGCGCCATGACACCGAGAACAACGAGAATGGCCAGAAAGCCAGCACCATGGAGAAAGCCTGATAATCGTTCTGTGTTAATACGAGTTCTCACAACGAAGGGCCGACAATGTCAGAGAGCCTTACCGGACACAAGGTTGGCCGTGGGTAGTAGTCTATGTCCCCAGATGTTCATGGCCAATGCATACACAAGAATTGCCCAATAGAACAGCATGCCCTGCCACCTGGCTGGGATATACGAGTCGTCGTTCAAGATAATAAGAGACTGCACTTGGAGACCAGCTGCGAAGGCGGCGGAAGAGGTAAGAACCACCTGGCCTCCCACGGAGATCCAACCGGTTGTAAACGCCGCGGCCGATCGGGTCGAGGGTGGGCACAGCGCCGCGACCCAGTGGTATTGACCTGTGAGGCAAAGTTGTCAGCGTCAACTCAGTGTACGGGATCCCTTTAGTGATGTGTTAACCAACAACTCTTACCTCCTGCAGTTGGATAGATGGATGCAATTTCTCCCAGGGACGATGCAATGCAGACAGTGCAAATTGTTGAAAGTATCCTTCAAAGCCGATTAGCCTCCCGTCGTAGTCCAATTGAATGGTTATCGTCAACTCACAAGTTATAGAACAAACAAGGGGCGCCGCCGCTGACAAGAGCCGGCGCAACAACACTTGACAGAGCCTCCCATGTTGCCATAAGACACACACATAGTGCACCCAGTGTAAGCAAGGAGAATTGTCGATTCAATTCCTGAGCGTGTCCGAGTTGAGCAAGTCGCAAGTCGTCGCCGGTGAAAATGGGCTCATTCTGGCTCTGAGAGTCGACTTTGCCAAGGGTCACCGTATCTTTCTTCATGTCGGTTTCCATTATTTCACAAAACAAGCAAAAAACAACAAGACTGAAGCAGATTTTGACTAGCGATTTCGATTTGTCGCCTTACAGTCGTACGATCCAGCGACTCAATCCCGGGGTTTGTCGGGCACACGTCTTTTGTTATGTATCTCCATGACCTACTCAAACTCCTCTTTGATCTTATCACCGAGCAAATCCAGATTCCCAAACCTGCGAGATTCACCAAAATGGAGACGATACCCAGACGGCGGCACCGCTGCAAGGCGTCCGGCATCTTATCTTCAGCGGGAGGCCCAATCAACTGCGGTTCAATAATCGCTGGCCAATCACAAGAGCTTCCCAGGATCCCCTAGTGCCTCGATCTTTGAACAACTAACTTTTATAATAGCCTTATCTTGGCCGGGGTTGAAGATAAGAAGACTACGTGGGCACTGCGCCTTGACTCGGAGCTGTTCCGCAGTTTCCGACGTGTTCCGGACGCCTTTCTCGGAAGGCCTTCCGACTACTGAGCCAACCAGAACTCGTGGACCATTTAATGGCCCGAACTTGCGGAAGGTCAGTCTGGTGTTTCAGTCCCTAAGACATCAAAGGACACAGTTGGTTAGAGAATCATTCCGAGCGTTGCTGGTTTCTTCATAAGAACGCAATCTTGCTCAGTCTCGAAAACGAACCCTGAACAACCATCTTCGGACGCCCACAGCCTCTGCAACCTAGTCCCGAGTCACATACACACCTCCCATAATGGCAGCTATTCCGCACCCCTTGTCGGCCCTGTCTCTGGAGGAGACCAATAAGGCCCGAGACATTGTGCTCGCCGCGCACCCCGGCTCCGTCCTTGATTTCAGACAGAACTACCTGTGGGAACCACCAAAAGCTGAGGTCCTCAAGTTCCTGGACCTGGAGCACTCTGGCAAACTCACAGCATCATCACCGAGACCGGCGAGATGCGCCCAGGTCTTCTACGATGTCATTGGAGGTGCGACCAAGGCCCAGTACTTCGAGTCCATCGTGGATCTGGGTCTCGGGAAGATTGTTGATCAGAAGCTTATCGGTTCCGAGCACCAAGCGAGTTTGACCATGTACGTCCCCAGCCACGAATCTTCACCCCCCACGCGGGTTCCGCGAGATGAATGCAACGCTAACGCGCCTGTCACAAAAAAAGCTACGAATTCGAGGTTCTGGCTGATGCCGTCCAGCGCTCCCCCTTGTTCAAGGAGAAGATCGCTGAGCTCAAGCTGCCAGAGGGCTTCGAGGTCGTCGTCGAGCCGTGGCCCTACGGCGCCCCTGACGCCGCAGATGGCGACGACCGCTTCTTCCAGGCTCTCATTTTCGCCCGGGACACGAGAAGTGGAAACCCGGACTCCAACTTCTACGCCTACCCCCTGCCTTTGATCCCTGTTATGGATGCGCACAAGAAGGAGATCGTGCGCATCGACGAGCTTGCTACTGGTGGTAAGGGCGATGCCCTGTCCGGGAGGACACACGCCCCCACGATCATCGACCACTGCCAGGAGAGCGAGTACGTGCCTGAGTTACTGCCGAACGGCACGCGGAAGGATCTCAAGCCCTTGACGGTGCAGCAGCCCGAGGGCCCCAGTTTCTCCATCACCGATGGCAACTTAATTGAGTGGCAGAAGTGGCGCATGCGGGTTACCTTCAACCCCCGCGAGGGTGCTGTCGTCCACGATGTGCGATACGATGGCAGGCCGGTCATGTACCGTCTTAGCATGAGTGATATGGTGGGTTCATCCCATTAAGACTGACCTGTTGGTTGGGGTGTGCGCTAACATTGGAGCCAGACTGTGCCCTACGCTGATCCTCGCCCGCCGTTCCACCGCAAGCAGGCTTTTGACTTCGGTGACGGTGGTTTGGGTAACGCTGTTAACAATCTGACTCTTGGCTGTGACTGCTTGGGAGTTATCAAGGTCCGTTCTATGGCAGCGAACTAATCCTTGCCTCGTATGCTGACATTAGAAACAGTACTTCGATGGTGTTCTCATCGATGGTAAGGGTGCGGCTGTCGAGTCCAAGAACGTCATCTGCCTCCACGAACAGGACAACGGCATTAACTGGAAGCACACTAACTGGCGCACCGGCCGTGCCGTGGTCACCCGCCGTCGCGAGCTCGTCATCCAGTTCATCATCACCCTCGCCAACTACGAGTACATCTTCAACTTCAAGTTCGACCAGGCCGCCGGCATCGTCGTTGAGGCTCGCGCCACGGGCATCGTCTCCGTCGTCAACATCGACCCCGGCAAGACTAGCCCGTGGGGCAACGTCGTCAGCCCCGGCGCCCTCGCACAGAACCACCAGCACGTCTTCTGCGTGCGCATCGACCCCTCCATCGACGGCAACGAGAACACCGTCGTGCAGGAGGAGAGCCTGCCGCTGCGCATGGACTCGCGGACGAACCCCAACGGCAACCTCTACGAGGTCAGGCAGACGCAGGTCACGACCTCGGCAGGCTTCGACGCGGCGCCGATGAACAATCGCGTCTTCAAGATCCAGAATCTTCGCAAGCCCAACCCCATCACAGGCAAGCCTGTCGGCTACAAGATCACACCGCCGGCGACGCAGCTGCTGCTCGCTGACCCCAACAGCGTCCAGTCCAAGCGTGCGCTGTTTGCCCGCCACCACCTGTGGGTCACCAAGTACAAGGACCACGAGCTGTTCGCTGGCGGCCGCTACACCCTGCAGAGCAAGCTGGAGGTCGGCGGTGTCAAGGACGCCGCTGACAGGAATGAGGACGTGCTGAACCAGGATGTTGTTCTCTGGAGTGTCTTTGGTCTGACGCACAACCCTCGTATTGAGGACTGGCCCGTCATGTAAGTGATGCAACTCGTCTCGCTCGCCTTGATGACTGAAAGCTAATTGATGATACCTAGGCCCGTCGAGATGTTGCAATTGCATATCACGCCGTCCGACTTCTTCACCGGAAACCCGGCTCTTGATGTGCCTTCAGACAAGGACATTGGATCCAAGTTGACCTCTGGATGCTGCGCCAAGGAGACGCCTATCCGAAGCAACTTGTAGAATATTTGATGGTGGTATTCATGATATTTTGTATGAACAGCGACATGTACATAAAAAGGGAGGCAAACGGTTTTGAGAGGCAGCTTTGACTGTCGATGAGTTAGATGACGACGGTGTCATACTAGCCTAGATCTTTTCATAAAAAGAAGAATTTTGTTCAATGAATTGCAGATCCGAGATCGCCGAAGCTACTTAACCTGAGCTCAATCCCGTTTCTTGTCACAGCCGTTCGATTTGAGTGAACTCAGGGGAGAAAATGTCAGTTGCAGTGAAATATTTCTCGGCATTGCTGTATTTTCGTTTCTGTAGCTAGAGGTAGAGGGATTGAATCATGGAGCATTCTGGTGATTATTACCATGACTTTGAGATTCGCGAGAAATTGAAATGAAAGTATGATGCTTCTGAAATTGAGTATGGTGTCTCGCTCAGTTCCTGATCGCTGATAGGCCTGCCGTGGGCTAAGACTCCAAAGCGCGTGTGGCAGAAACCGTTCACGTCAATTGCATTGGATGTCAATCAGTAGCTTTCAAACAATCAGTAACGCGTAATCAATCGCCTGGATAATTCTCATGCGCTTCAGATGTTTGATGACAATTATCCTGTGTCGCGGACCCCTCGGGATGCGTTATCTCTCATGACTCGCATGTTGTTTCTTTCGCCTTCGTTCGGGTGAGTGGCAAAGCAACACATTGTCACATTCAAGATGAGGAATTGCATGATTCACAGGCTTACCTAGCAGCGGTGCTCAAGACGATAAGCGAAGATAGCGACCCGGTGGGTGTGCGTCGGAAGGGGCTCGGAATGGGAAACACGTCAACGAACCCCCACAAAGATAAGGACCAAGGGTCGGAATAGGGTCGGAAAGCGCTGTCTATGTTTGAGCTGCGAGGCTATCAAGAGATTATGTCGGTGATGAGAAATGTTGAATCAGAAACCTGACAAAATCGAAGTTGAAAGTCCGAAGCCGGCGAAGCCGACATGCTGGGTGCAACGCTCCACGATAAGCTCGCAGTATGGTGAGAAAGACAAAACGATTTGTCCCAGGATATTGCGTATCGACGAGATACTGACTGTCAAAGTGAAGTTTAATGACCGTTGTCATGTGTCATTCGCGTAGTCGTCAGTTCGTTGCACTTTCGCTATGAGATACCGCATTCCAGGTGTTAGCAAACAAGCCAGAACAGCCATCTCGGGTTGAGTGAGGATGCGAAGAGACGAGATTTATGCTGCCCGTCAATAATCATGTATTCCCGAGAGGGATGCTTAAATAAATGAACCACTTCCCATCTCCCCCTTCTGTAGATAGTCACCTGAGTCGGACCCTTATTGACATCTTCCGACCGCCCGGCTCCGGGAGTCAAACAATTAAACCCCACAAGCCCCAGTCTCCAGGCCGGCTCCGCTTCCGACTCTCCGAAATAACCGGCCGGCACCAGCACGATAAGCCGGGAGAAAACATCAGTCCATCCGTCTAGTGTGTTCAACATGTTTGGTTCCACATCAGCTTTGTTTTTGCATGGCTTTGCACTACAGTAAGGGCTCGGAATCGCAACTCACTTGACACATTCAGTCTTCCCCTCGGTGCACAGCTTCACATTCACATGATCGCAAACAAACCGCACAAGAAATAAACAAACACAATGACGGGGACTCGTACGGTAAGGCTGATGATTGGGTAAGTCGACGCCATCATAGGCGGAATGAAATTTTATTTGCAGCATTGGGGTGTTCCCCTCGAAGAAATTCAGTGAAACGTCTGCCTTTCAACGGCTGTAGAGCCTGCCCTTCGCTTCATCACTGATACTGTGCTCTCCTGTGAGAATCACTAAAGACATCCTCCCTAATGCCGACGATCGTTTATGTTTTCCTCAACCACTGCCTCTACATCACATGTCCCCCTCGCGTCAAACCGAAGACTGCTTAAGCAGCGGTCTCGACCTTGATGCTGGCCTTGCCGGCGCTCTGGTAGGCCTCAGTGGCAACAATCTGGTAGGCGAAGGAGGTGCCGAGGGTCATGCCAGCGTTCTTCCAGGCGTTGAAGAAGTTGGACATGGTGACGGTTCCGCCGGTGCGCTTGTTGTCGCGAATGGCCCAGAACTGCTTGAAGGTCTGGGTGCCGTCGATGGACGGGGCGTTGGTGCGGGTGCTCTCGTACAGCTTGTAGGTGGAGCCGTCGGAGGTGACGGTGCCCTTGAGGGTTCCTGCAGAACCGGGGTTGTACTCGCCGTGGTTCTCAACCTGGAAGCATTTGGGTCAGCATCTTCTTCATGACAAGGCTGGGCGTGTTGTGCACGGGGATCAGGGTGCAACTTACGACGTAGTACTCGATGAGAGGGTTCCTGGTCCAGCCGTAGATGGTCAGGTAGCTGTTGCCGTTGTTGACCGGGGCCCAGGTGCCGGAGTACTTGATGCTGCGGGAGGTGCCGGTAGCCCAGCCCTTTCCACCGACCAAATTACCGCCGGACTGCCACTCGACGGAGTAGGAGCCGCCAGCGCCGTTCGTGTAGGTGACGGGAGAGGCGCCGTCGGTCCAGAAGGAGTAGAAGTAGCCGTTGTTGGTGCCCTGAGAGCTGGGGGTGGAGGCTCTCTTGATCAGGTCGGTGCCGGGGTTGGCAGCGGGAGCGGCGAGAGCGCCGACGGCGGCGAGGGTGGCCGTGAAGATAGAAGCGAAGGAACGCATGTTGATCAACAAGCTGGATACGTATGTACAAAAAATGTGATAAAAGAACGAATGGAGCGGTCGGAAAACTATGAACAGAGAGTCCGGTGAGGCAGCAGAGAGGAGGGACATCGCGAAGCTGGGAGGACGAGGCCGTCCCTTTTTCAATCAGATTTCCCTTCGATCGGTTTGTTTGCCTCGCTGGGTCGAATCAATCCACCACAGGGAGGCCGATGTGACGACAAGGGAGAAACGGAGATTCAAGTGCCGTTTACAATGGATATTGACCATCAACATGGGGGCCAGAGCGATGCGCTTTGCCCAGAATAAACTAACGTCGACCCACGTGGGTAGCATTCTTGGGACCGGTGGGTGGTCGTTGGCGAGAGCTCCCTGGTCGAGCGTTCCCCAGTCCTGTCCGATCTTTACGAGTTTTTTGGGCGGCGGAGCTGGGAAACCTGCCCAAAAGGTGACTGGATGACGGCCGCGATGGACCGATCAGGAGCTTTGCGGTTCCGCCAATCGCCGGGACGGGTTTAGGCCAGGAGTCGGATTGAGTGCCGCGTCGTCGGGAGTAAATGAGCCAAGCCGGGGCCGATGTTGCATGATCCCTGTCAGTGCTCTCCGCAATTTTGCGCAAGGGGGGAACAGTCCGGTACTGCGGCCGAGTTGGCGAGCTTGGAAGAGGTAAGCATGTCCGACCCCTATTAGCTATTTAGCCGGTCATGCCGGCTTCCTTTTCGAAGGCTGTTGATGGGGTTATTTATCCAACAAATTGGGCCGTTCGAAGATGATCCCCGGAGCTCATCGTCCAGCGAGGAGGGATCTTGCACATCACTTGTGCTTAACACAAGCTTTAAGGCTCGGGATGCTCGAGCTAGCTTGCGGCCCGCTGTCAGCTCAGGAGGCGGCGGGACCAATCTCGAATTGATCATGCGAACCAAAGTTGCGCTCGCTCGGGTTGCAGTGAATGTCCAAGGTCCTTTTACCGCCGGCTGAATGCGTAAGTGCCATTGATCGGTCGGGAGGAATCTGGGGATTTTGCTTTCTGCCGGGTTTCAAGGAAACAGACTCGCGATTCCCAAGAAGCCGACTGGATGGCGCCATAGACGGGCTATTGCAGCTCTGTGTAGGGTACGGATCAATACCGACTCCGGCAATGAGGCACACTACCTTGCCTTGTGCATTTAGGCAGTTCTGAATACCGCAGAAGTGCTAGCCAAGTCTTCTGGAAGCCGAGATTCTCTCCACAAGTTCACATCGCGCTTATGGTCCTCTACACTTATATGAAATTGCAGAGACTGTACCCAAACGAAGTGAAGAAACGCGAAGGCATCGCATCGTCGGGTTCATTTCCCAACGCTGTTGTGTGAGGTGACATAAGCCCCTTAAACTTGGCATCCAGTTTACATGTCACTTTAAGCGCTGGCTATGTTTCAACCACAGGCCCAGCCAAACTAGACTCTTCGCGGCGCACAAATAACGGCCACAGAGCCACCACACATGAGCCACGGATGATGACCTAACGCAACAGCCCAGTGTTTAGGCTCGATATTGGGCTATCGTGTCTCTGGCTGGCGATCTCTGATCTGCATCATCACATTCCAGCGCGTGGCCGTCCCTCTCCCCAAACCTCCACCGCCACGTCGTAGTCGTAGCGCCATCCGTCTTGCCATGATCAAGTGATGTTCTCAAGCCACCCCCAGCCAATCCAAGTTGTGCGCATTCATCCCGCTAACCCCAAGCACAACGCCGCGTTGCATTAGCGGCCTCAAGCGAGAGACCCCTACTTGCACAAGGGGCCGCCCAGCCTGCACAAACCCCGCATTTAGGCGTGCCCAGAACGTTTCCTGCTCCCTTTTCCCCAGGCCGCACAAACCCAGAACGAGAGATCGGACGACGTCAGTGCAGCCAGTGGCACCACCCCTTTGCCGATTCGCAGGTCACCGCCGCGCGCCCCCTTTGTCGAATTACGGCTCGCTTCTCGAGTTGGGGGAAGTGAGGAGGAAGGAGGAGGAGGAGGCGCGGTTGCTGTCATGCCTCCTCACCAGATCAGCCGGAGCCTGCGAAATGCGGGGTGCTTCGACCGTACACTGCCGTCGCTGCGGTTGAGTTCGTGGCAGACTTTGACGGTTCAGCGTCGTTGTGGGCCTCGCGTGGTATGCGCAGGGTCTCGTTTGCCATCGGGACTGTCTATTCGGCCTAGACGCGGTTTCCAGAGCACCGGCTATTCTCGCGACTCCGCCGACGAGATGACGCTGACGAGCGGCCTTCCCCGGTCCAAGGCATGCAGGGCGCACGCGACAGCGCACTTGAAGGAGGTCATCACGCCGGAGCTCCTCGAGAAGCTGCGGAGGTTTTGGTTCAAGCATCTACACACTGAAGAAGCGTTCATCTTGCCGCAGAAGAACCAGTTGGGGCGATGGTTCTTCTCCGACGAGAACTTCGACGAGAGCTGCGTGTTCGTATCAGCCCACTTGCATTCCTCGAACACGTGCAACTGACCAGGACTCTTAGGAGAAAGTTCCGTCCGGCTCTAGAGGCCCTCAAGTCGTCGAGGGCGACTTCGAGAGACATCATCGCCATCGTGAGGCCCATCACGCCACTTCAGTGGTTGAGCCTCGTCCTGCTCCTGGACCAGATCCCGCGCAACTGCTATCGCGGCGCCGAATCATCCGTTGTGTTCAAGTTCTTCGACCCAATCGCCCGCGACATCGCTAACCATGCCATCAACGCCGGCGCGACAACGCACAACCGGACTAAGTATCGGGTAGCGTATCGCATGTGGTTCTACCTCCCGCTGATGCACTCGGAAGACCTCGCACTGCATGACTTGGCGGTGGAGCATTATCAAAAGATGAAGGATGATTTTGAGGAGCTCATGGCAACGGACGGGTCTGCCGGAGACGACGATCAGAGGAAGTGCTGGGGAGTCTTGGCGGTACAGAAAGAGACGGCGAGAGACCTGCTTGAAACCAATTACGATTTTGAGATGAAGCATCGAGACATAATCGCCCAGTTTGGAAGGTATCCCCACCGAAATCTTGCTATGCACCGGCAGTCAACGCCAGAAGAGAAAGAGTATCTCAGGACTGGGGGTGAAACGTTTAGTGGAGGAGGATGAGTTGGCCGTTTGCTTGTCTGAATATGTAATAGTCTCTCAACACAAATCTGTCTGGGTGCATGTATTGGGTCAAAGGTCATTGTAGTCTAACTTTAGTCCTGGCAATTGGCTGTTATTTAGTATCGATGGTAGTCTCTAAGCATAATGAAATGGCGTTCTACTCAGATAACTAGGTACGTCACTGGACAATGTTCTTGGATAGCCAGAGGATATCGAGAAGGGTCCTTGCGCGCCTCAGCTGCCCACGAACACGTAGTGATAAAGCAGAACGGTTCAATGTCGACTCAGCAACCCGGCCATTCGCAGCCCTACCCGCAGCCAGCAGGCAGCTCTCGACGCTGAAGTGACATCATCCCGCTTTATTGACCTGCTAGAATGCCTCTTTTGAAGTTAACAATTCGTCAGAACAGCTCAAGAAGGTCAAGATCAACGAGCCGAGTCAGCCACCCGCTCACTTTGTGCCGAGCCGAGTCGTTCGCAACACCGATTCAGTACGGGGGATGTGCCGCTTTCCAAGATTCTTCGGAACCGGCAGTGGCATCCATTTGTTCGTCCATCGGTCTACCTTGGGTGACCGCGCACTCAAATTCGAACTCAGCTGAAGTACCCAAAGATGGCGACACCGCGCAGTCGATTTGGTTGGCAGGAATCCCAAAGTCTATTAAAAGGGACTCGAAGGGAAGTACCGACGGGTAAAATTCTCTTTCGTCGAGTGTCTACATATGCTTTGTTCTTATGGCATAACTTGTTACCTATTAATTACATGTTCTACAATTCCGCGAGAGAAATGGCGTACACTACCGTCTCCGTACACTCGCCAATCTGCGAAACTGCCGTAGTCTTACAGTGGCTCAAACGCACATGGCCAGATCTCTCAGCAGGCGCGAAGAGAGTTTGTACGGCAGAAACCTTAACCCCTTGTGGGGATCTCGGATCATGGAAACCGGACACATGCCGGTTTGGGGTCCAGAATCGGCCGGCGACTGCAAAGTCGAATTTTGAATAACCGCACATGCTGTTGCCTCAGTCACTCCTTTCGAAAGTCGATTCTCTCGGTACAGGTATGTGTTGCCCATATTGGCCATGGATGAGTAAACATTATTGATTTAGTCTAGGTAGTGATATCACGCTGTCTATCTTTCGTAGGCTTTCAGATTCAATCTGGCCTTGGTATAATGATCCTCCCATGAGTGACTCCTTCCATGCGTTTGCCTCGTCGACGACATCCCAGCTTTTGTTCAGCCGCTTGATTGCAGCCTGCTTCATACGGTAGCAAAGTCTCCCGAATCTGATTGCAACGGTACTTAGCCAATTGCTTCCCCTGCGAGCAGCATCTCATTGTTACCCACGGCTGCTCGCATCTCCGTGATAAGTCCATACTTCCTTCTCGGTCGAAGGATGTTCGCACTAAAGCTGGCATTGAGACAGTGCAGCCTTTCGCCATGCCACGCTCAGGTACCCAACGGATGTTGAGATGGATATAGGGGGCCTAGAAGGTGGTGTGTAAGTCGGGCAATCTACTCCATATCGACCACTATCACTCACAAACAGGCACGAGCCAATGCAGAACTTATTGTCTGGTTGCCTCGAATCCAGGGCAAGACACTTCACAGCTGAGTCGGTACATGAAGAAAATGTGATGTTCAGCTTCATGCCTGGTCTTTCATCCATCACTGGCCGTTCCTTTTTCGTTGAGTGGCGCCTCGTCATCGGTCACCTCTCTCTGCCTTATTGATAACTGACTCTTTTTCGAGTTTCTTCGTATGGGAGTACCGGCGGCCTGGCGCCCGTCGTAGATGTGGTCGGTAAATGTACGTCGTAACGGTGACAGAGAACCCCCTGTTTGCTCGATATCTGGTAGCGCCACCAAAACGGCGCCCTGGCCGACCATGGTGCGCTTGTGGCTGTCGGGTAAAGTCACCGATGGAAGGCTTTCCGGTCCTCTGCAGTTGCAGGTGCTCATCCTGGTGAATGATAATAACTTGTTGAGCACGACGAACTCAACCTTAAGTTTGACGCTGTACACGAATGGCTTGCACATCGTCTGGATCTCAAACTTGTCGTTGTACTCGAGTACGATCAGACCTATGTCGAGGAGGAACACAGCGGCGAAGAGACCCGCGAGGTGGCGCACCATGTTTGCGACTGCCTTCGGTTTGATCGCGCTCAGAGGTTTTAGACTGTAGTAGCCTTCGTAAAGGAAGAAGCCGGCGATGATGGTCTCCTGTATCGTGAAGACAACCAGTTCAACCTTCTCGTAGATCTTGAAGGGCATTGACCATTTGGCTGGGTGTTCGAAATTTGCCAGGAAAAAGATGACCGTCTCAGGGACGTGCATTGTGACCGCATTGAATATGATCATGACGAGAATCATGCGGATCTTGCGCTGGCTGTGAACCACCAGGTGAAGTCGGGACCATAGAACGATGGCCTGCCCCGTTACCATAGAGTACCATGCGATCGGAATGATGAAGCTCGACGCCAAGATGGCTTCGTGGTAGTATCCAAAGTATCGCAAGACGAACGCGATGACGTTGATGTTGATTCCCGTGTTGCTGACGATCATGCTCCAAAAGTACCGCCCCTGTCGCCGCTTGAAAGTTGTGAAGATGGAGAAGAACGTTTCGATGGTGTTGTAGTACGCTGTCGCGGCGAAGGCGATCATCACCATCGCCTGGACCTGCGAGACCGAGATGGTCCCCGTCTCGCCCGCCATTCTCTTCTCTGTCGCTTAGTACAGTACTCGGACTCGAAGGGTCGCCGGCGCCGTTCGTTCCATTCGCTTGGACGGCATCATGGAATGAACAACGGCGATCGGGATTGTCAGCGGGAGACGGGATGGAAGATGCGATGGCGCAAAGCAGGCCGTCGCAGTGGTCAAATGGAATGTTTCCATGGCCACCTACTTAAGACGACTGATTGGCATCTGCAGGAGTCTGAGCGCCGGTGCAATTAAGGTTCGGGAACCACCTCACGGGCAAAAGTATAAATCTCCTCAAAGAGGCTTACGATTTGCGCCTCGGCGTTTGAGACTGGGAGGATCGCGGGCTGGGAAGCGTGTATGAACTGACTCGTCTGCATAGCGAAACCCTGAGTGAGGACGAAAGGTCGCCCTGCGAATCAGATTTCTGCCACACTTGACTTTGCTGCGACGCTGCATGAACTCTAAACCAATAGGGAAGGTCGACCATTTTGCCGTTTCCTTGATGTTGGTTCGCAGGATTCATGGAGGGTCATCTGCCTTGTGGCAGAATCAGCACGAGTGATTGGAGGAGGACGAAGGGATACCCGGGGCAGATTATTTTGGCCGAACACTTCTAGTTCAGACGGCGAACGTGTTTGAAGTCTTCTAGAAGTGGAGGCTGAGATCTTGCTGTTCGAACCGGCAATCACCTGTGCGCTGATAAAGCTGGCTGTCTTCAACAAACTGACGTACGTATGCAGATCTTTCTACGAACTGGGCCTTCGTCTCTGCCATTGGGGCCATTTACCTGTGGGTAATGAGCGCCCGACTATATTCACAGGTTTCAAAGAAGATAACCTGCATCTTGGCATGAAACGCGATAGACTCGCTCGCCCTCGGTCGTTTTCCCACGCTTCAGAATCCAGGTGGCATCTCATGGTTCATTTTGAGATTGAGGATCTCCGTATCTCCATCCCGCAACCTCGTGGGATATTCAAGACGATTTCGGTGAATGTAAGCTGTCACTTGCGACTTTCATGATAGAGCAAGACTTCATAGAGATCAACCTGCTGCAGCATATTGTCCTTGAGATGCAGTTGCAGCGCATGAAGCTCAGATACCTGGTATCTAGTCCATCGGGGTATTCTTGTTACGTCCGTGACGTAGTTGAAGCTCAAGAGCCGGCCTCCGGGCCAGAAACCGCCGGCTGTAAAGCTACCCGTCTTGCCGGGTCGCTGCCCGAGGGGATGTCACCACCGGCAAAGTAGAGTTTCTCTCTGCATCGCCGTTGAGAAACCTTACTGTGTGCCGACCGGCAAAATGTTTAGGCACGGATGCTCAGAATGGCAAGTATTTGTCTTCGTAATAAGTGACTGGACTTGGGGTAGAAGGATAGGAGAGATGTAGGAACTGAAATTGCATCAACTAGATGTTCACTTCAGTTTGTCGTCTAGAGAGGTTTTGCCACATGATTCAATTACTTTCGAGCCAGAATGAATAATGACAGCGAGATTGGAAACTTCTGTTAAGTTATACGCTGGCCACGGAAAAAGCCGCATAGAGACGGAAAAGGCCAGGTTGGAAATGCTTCGGGCGCAGCTTAAACTTTCTGGCATTCCCGACACGACGCGTTGCCAGCAAGCATAATGACTATGCGAGCCTGTATAGCATAGCCTACTGCTTGTTCATTGAGAGGAAAGACTCTGCCGTGTCAATGACGATGACAACGTGAGTCATGAAATGCAGCGGAATGTCAAGGAGATTTGTCGGCAAGATCATTGTGTGGGCACGGCGTCTTCTCGACGGCATGCTGTAGTGGAAGAACGCCACGAGTCTTGGACTGTTTCCTTTCTATGTGCGAGTCTCTCGTATCTGTTGGATATGTCTTTTTCTTTGCCCTACAAACTAACGCAAGAAGCGATTTGAGTGGACGGCAAGTTGCAATCCAGTAGATTACAGGTCTTGCCGTGGTTGATAGTGGGTGTGAGTACCTTCAAGAGTGTAAACCTCTAGGCTCTACGAGTGGCGATGAGCTGAGGTGGTTATACTTTACAGGAATTTGTACTTCTATCGGTCTCTAGTAGTTGTCTTTGTAAATGAACTTTCCCCTCGCGTTGCACAACCACCTGTGGTAACTCTCCGCTCACCCACAGCATCAGCCGTTGTTGCTAAGGCTTAGTTCTGCACTGGCTCCTGACACGTTCATGCCTTTTAGGATCGTTGAAATATGACTCAGATCAAAGAAAGATTCTCAATGCATACTCTAGTATTGTACGCAGTTCCTACCTACACTATTTGGGAAACTTCGCATTTTTCC